TGATCTGCACGACATTCTACCTTTTTAATCGGCGTGTTTGATGTTCTCTCTCTTCCCCCCACTGCTGGAGTCACTCGCGCCTTGGCGTGCTGGAGTCTGTCCGCCGTGCAGTCGAGAGGGGATTGGGGGAGAGAAGGGGAGGGGCGCCACCCTCCACTCCTCTTTTCTCTCCAGCCCGCTGCAGACGGGCAGCTCCAGACTTTGGACGCTCCAGCCTACGTAAGTTTCGCTCTGCCTCGCGTCAGAAGTCACGCGTCGGGCTGCTGACTGCGCTCGGAAGTGCCCTCTCTCTCTTTCTGTCCCCAGATCGCCTCCCATGCGTCTCCTCTTCCCCCCCCCTCCTAGTTTTGCGCGTCCTCTGCCGGAGCCCTCGCCGTCTCGGCGCGCGCCTCAGCTTGTCCGGAGCCCAGATGTCCGACGCACAGGCCGCCGCCTAGGCGAGGGGGGGAGGGTCGGGAGGGGAGGGAGGGGGAGTGGAGACGAGCAGCGCTTTGCCGCATCTGAAGCGCCCTGGCCTTGTTACACGCCTCCACGTTGCGAAGTGCACGGCGGGCTGGTTTGACAGATCAAGATGCTTGCCGAGGTCATGGGTAGACGCACCCAGTTGATCGACTCAAAACGGTTAAGGCGAGATGCAAAAAGCATGTATCTGGGCGAAGGACCTAACCATATGCAGTTGAGGGTGCCGCGGTTGAGAAAATTGTCTTCGGTCGAGGTGCTTGTGGCGTTCTGGAGCGCGCGAGGGGCGTGCCGTAGTGGTGGTAGGGGGGCGCATGCGAACTGTGCCATTGGAGCCTTCGGTGGAGGTCCATGTGGAGCCACGAAGCGTGTGAGGGGTGCGCCGGAATGGGTCTGGGGTCCGTGTGCGAGCGTCACCACTGAAGCTTTCGGTGGAGCTCCAGATGGGGTCACGAAGCGTGTGGGGGTGTGCAGCAACGGGTGCGGCGGTGCTGTGCGGGCGCGGCCATTGTAGCCTTCGATGGAGCTCCACGGGACGCATGAGGGGTGTGCCGAAATGGGAGGGGGACGCATGCGAACGTCGCCACTGGGGTCTTAGATTGAACTTCTTGTGGGGGCACGATGCGTGTGAGGGGTGTACCGAAATTGGTGATGGGGGGGACGTGCGCAACTGTCACCACAGGGCCTTCGGTGGAGGTCCCTATGTAGCCACGGGACGTGTGAGGGATGTGCCGAAATGGGCGGGGGGACGCATGCGAACACTGCCACTGGGGCCTGAGGTGGAGCTCCCTATGGGGCCACGCAACGTGTGAGGGGTGTGCTGAAACCGGTGGGGGGCATGCATACGAACGTCGCCATTGGGGCCTGAGGCGGAGCTCCCTCTGGGACCATGAAACGTTTGAGGGTGTGCAGAAATTGGTTGGGGGGCGCATTCGAACGTCGCCACTGGGGCCTTAGGTGGAGCTCCCTATGGGGCCACGAAGCGCGTGATGGGTGCGCCGAACTGGTTTGACTTGCGGAGGGCAGACGCAGGGATGAGAGGGAGGGAAGAGGAGGAAGGAGTGAGGAGGGACGCGGGGTGCTGTCTCTTTAAAACGAGGACTCCATACGACAGGATGGTTGGGAACATTATTCTGGCGAAGGACCCAACCATATGCAGCTGTGAATACAGCGTTGTGGTCACCGCTTTCGGTGGAGGCCCTTCTGGAGCCACGAAACATGTGAGCAACCCAACGCGCAACGCAGGCATGCGCCAGCCTATGGCACGGCGCCTCGGCAGGATGAAAAAGTATGGAGGAGAAGGCGGGATCGGCGGCTCTTCCATGAGACTCGTTTGCGCCGGTCTTTTCGCAATACTCCCGCTCGAGCTCCTGGCTCCCTCTCGCATCCCCTCGGGGAGTCGGCCCCCCGCTCCATCCCTCGCAGGCGGCCACGGCCCGGCTCAACGGCGTGCGGTCCTCCATGGGCGCCGCCGCGGAGGCCTTCGGCGAAAAGATGTCCAAGAAGGGCTTCAAGAACAAGAACGCGAGGGGAGGCTCCTGGGAAAGTCAGAAGCGGCACCATCGCTCATGTTGGAGCCAGCTGGGGTCTGATGCGGCCCAGCATTTGTTGCGGCCAGCAAGAGGCGCGGAGCGAGGTTTGAGGCTTTGCGTTCGGGATGTTTTTCCTCTTATTTAATCGCTTCGCTCATGCCGCTGGCCGTGGAGCCCTCTTTAGGGCCTCTTGGGGGCCTCTTGGGGACCTCTTGAGAGTCTCTTGGGGCTCCTTGGCGGCGTTTTGGAGGCCCCCAGGGCCTCTTGGGGGGCTCTTGGGGGTAGTCGATTGCGGCTCCCACCTCGGAGGCCACGATCCTCGTGAGGGGTGTCGAAAAATACCCTCCCCTGGAGTGGTCTGGTGGCTTCTCCCGGGCTTCTCTCGGGACCTTGCCGGGGTACTTTTCGTCCGGGGGCCCCCAGGGGCCGCTCCGCGCGCGCGAACTAGAAATAGTGTTAACAAGTTACCGGAGATCTTAGCACGCCTCTGGCCCGTTGGGCCGGCGAATTTGAACATGTGTAGTCTCTGGGGGCCGTTTTCGGGCCCTGGGACCGTCAAAAACGGATCTGGGGTCAAACATTGCACCAGATAGACCTTGGGAGTGGTCCAGGGACCAAGTTTGAGCGGATGTGTCCTTATCCCCACTTCTTGACAGGTTTTCTCGGGGCCCATCCAGTTCAGGTCTTGGGCCGCCTCCGAAGAAGCGGCACCATCTCTCATGGCCCCCGTAGACACGGGTGAGAGTCCGGATTTGTTGTTGTGGGCTTGAGGGATTCGTCGCCGGGATCCCCCGATGCGCAGCAGCCCGAAGCACATCCCTCTCCCTGTGATGGGCATTGAGCTTCTGAGTGCGCATCCCCCAAAAGTTGCGTAGCCTTGGCTCAAGCCTTGACTATATGCCATTTGGGCTCATGCTTGGGTCAAGTAGGAGGAGGAGGACGAGGAGGAGGAGGAGGAGGAGGAGGAGAAGGAGGCGGGGCAAGCCGCCGTGAAGCCACATCTATTCGGATGATACGCATCGGCAGAAGGTCTCGTGAAGGCTTTGTGCCGCTGGAAGTGGCAATCTGGAGGTGCAGCAGGACAAGACAATGGAGTGCAGCATTGCAGTTTTTCCGTGAAGGAATTCAGTCAGGCGCGCAAGTTGTCTCAGGGCGCTACATCGCGACCGCGATTGCATGCTGAAATGATGGGGCGTGGCAACACGCACTGTCGGTGCTCAGTAAGATGTGTGAGGCGAAGATGAAGCCCAGCCTCATCAGCTACAGTGCCAGGAGCAGTCCTAGCGATTGTGGGCGAGATGTGGGACACGAAGTTGGAGCCTGATTGCATCAGTTGCAGCGCTGGGATCTGCGCTTGCGAGAATTTCGATAACTGGCAGCGGGCTCTGGCACTGCTGTGCGAGACGTGGGGGGGGGGCAAAGCTGGATCCCAACGTCACCATCATCATCAACACCATCACCATCACACCATCATCATAATAATCATCACCATCGTCATAATCATCATAAGCATCATCATGATCAGCATTCTTACCCTTATCCCCATCATCAGCATCATTATCATCATCGTCATCATCAGTATCATCATCATCAATAGCATAATCGTCATCATCATCATAAGTATCTTCATCGTCGCCATCGTCATCGTCGTCATCGTCATCACTATCACCATCATAACCAGCACCATCGTGATCGGCATTACCATCACCATCTCCAACACCATCACCGTCACCGTCACCATCATCATCAATCAGCATCATCGTCATTGTCATCGTCCTCATCCTCCTCATCCCCGTCACCATCATCAGCCACAACGTGAGGACAAGGCGTGCAAAGATGTCGAACAGTTGCAGCGGGCTCTGGCGTTGATCTGCGAGATGTGTGTGGCGAAGCTGGGGTCCGACGTCATTTCTCCCATAATGCAGCCCTCACCGCTCGCCAAAGTGTCGAGCAGTGGCAGCGGACCGGCCCCTCCGGCGGCCCCCGGCGCGGCCCCGGGGCCCCAGCGCGCTTCCAAGATGGCTTAAGGGTGCTCCGAGCCGCCACTGGAGGCCCCCAAGAGAGCCCGAAGACGGTCCAAGAGGGACTCCGAGACGGGCCCTGAGCGCTCGAGGACGCCCAATACAGCCGCCCGACGGCCCAAGAGGCCCCCCAAAATGCCCCAAGTAGGCTTCAGAGAGGGCCCCAGGAGAACCCGAACAAGGACAAATCGTCCCAATTCTTAAGAAAACGTGCATTTTGGGAGTTCCCGTGCTTTTCGTCTTCGAAGCGTTCAAGACGGCCACACAGGCCTTCAAGATCGTCCCAAGACGCCTCAGGAGGCTGCCAGGAGGACCCCTAATACGGCTCAAGTCTGCCCCAGGACGGCTCCTCAGGCGCCCAGGGCGGCCCCAAAAGGGGGCCAGGACGGTGGGCTCCCGAGGGGCCCCAGAAGGGGCCAGGAGGGCCCCATGACGCATGTATTTGGGTGCCCCTTTCGCAAGCCCAAGAAGCGTATCAAGCACATGCGGTTTGGAGCCTTCTTGGGGCCCCCGGGGGGCGCCTTTGCGGCCCTCTTGAGGCCTTGGGGCCCCTCCAAGACAGGGCCGGGTGCATTCTGCCACAGAAAGGCCTCTCGTGGCAGAGTGGTGGGCCCTCGCCTGTCGGCGTCCTGGTAGTCGTCGTCGTCGTCGTCGTCGTCGTCGTCGTCGCCGTCGTCGCCGTCGTCGCCGTCTTCGCCGTCTTCGCCGTCGCCGTTGCCGTCGTCGTCGTCGTCGTCGTCGTCGCCGTCTTCGCCGTCGCCGTCGCCTTCGCCGTCGCCGTCGCCGTCGCCGTCGCCGTCGCCGTCGCCGTCGTTGTCGTCGTCGTCGTCGTCGTCGTCGTCGTCGTCGTCGTTGCGTCATCTCCCTGTCCCTTCCTCAGCCAGACATCTGCCCTGCCCCCGACCTCTGCGTTCTGGCACCAGATTTGTGCATCCGACCCGTGACGTTGCGACAAGGAGGCCCCTCCGCAATCCGTAGCCACTGTGGTTCAAGCGGCATTTGTCACGCCGGGCTCCCGGCGCGTCCTCTTCCCATGCTTCGGCAAGGCGGCATCCCTGTCCGGCATGGCGCAGCTGTGGCCTGGGCCCGGTCTGTCGGCGAAACTGCGGACTTGATGTCTGAGGTCACTAAGCGGGCGGCGGCTCGGGCTGTCCCAGTGCCTGCTTCTCCTGATGCGCTCCCGCTGCCTGTGCTGGGTGGCGCCGCCCGCGACGTGCTCGGCGCTGCCGCTTAGCTCGTCGCCGTGGTCGGCGGCAGTACGCTGGCCAAGAGCTGGGAGCAGCTGCGGGCGGCTGGCGTGCGCCCGCCGTCCGACCTCGAGCGGGAGTGCCGTGCCCCCGACGGCGCTTCGGAGTTCATTCGCCATCCAGGCTCGGCGCACGTGGTGCTGCGTCGCCTCAAGGCCTGGCTTGAGACCGCGAAGGCCACCCAGAGCGAGAAGCGCGCCTGCGGCACCAGCGGCTCGCTCGATGCGGTGGACGGTTTCGACGGCAAGGCGGAGGTCTACACGGAGGGTTCGGACTGCCCCTCCGAGGCCGCTGCCACCAGGGCGTCGGAGATGGTGACATCCGACGGCGGCGCCTCGGCGACCTGGAGATCCGAATCGGACTCGTCGAAGTCGCGGGCGTGGAGATGTCCGTTTTTCCTGTTCTTTCCTGGCTCATGGCCACGCGGACATCAGCATGGATAAGGGCAGCCACGAGGACAGGATCGCCGAAACCGCTGGCGTGGAAGTGGCCTTTCTTCCTGGCCTCGCAGAGGCCGCTCGTGTTCATGTTGAAGGCGGTGCTGGTGTTCTTCCTGGAGTTGGTCACGCGGCCAATCGCTCTGTGGACATCAGCCTTGACAAGCACTTCATCGGCTTGGGCGTAGAGGACTCCGAGCTGGGCTCGAACGTAACTGTCGCCGTGGACTACGCCGCTGGCAACCCTCATGATGAAGGAGGACATCAGAAGTTGGAGCCTGATGTCGAATATCTGCCTGCTGGTGGCGGACTTTTGCATGATGGTTGTTTGCTACGTGCTGGTTGCGATGGTTCGAGGGCTGAGGCGCCGCCTGCCCAATTTCGTTTCCCCCCTCATAGCCGCCGCCTTCCTAAAGCGTCGGTGGCTCGCGCGTCGGTGCGCACAACAGATGGTGCAAACGATATGTGGCACGGTGTCTCGCATTAAATAGTTGTGCAGCCTGCGTCTGCAGGATGTCCAGCGTTGACGTTTATTTTGCGTCCGAGGATGGTATTTTGATTATCGGGCCTTCGTGGTTTCGGTCCTTGTTTTTCGGTCGTGCCCCTCGGTCGGCTGCGTCTGGGCCCTGGCTTTCCCGCCCCTCGTTCCCTTTCGGCCCAATTCGGGCCCCCCGTCGCGCGTCGGCCGCGCGCAGGAGTTATTGTTCTGGCGATGACCCGAGGATGCATCAAAACAAGGCCCCTCAACAAGGGCCGAAGAAGGCCTCAAGCCCCCGCCCTCGAGCCTGGAGATTCGAATGGGTCTCCAGACCTATCTTGGGATCCACGCGCACCGGTCTCGCGGACTGCGTCTGGCCGTTGCGCCGAGGGGGCCCCCGCGAAAACCGCGCTGCCTCGGGCCTCGATTCCCGAGGCTCGAGGCTCGAGGTGCGAGCCCTGGAGAGCGCCCCGCCCGCCCGCCCCGCTCGCTGTTCCCGTTCCCGCCGGACAACAACGACGACGACGACGACGACGACGACGAAGCGGCGACGACGGCGGCGGCAACGGCAACGACGAAGGCGACGGGCGCGGCGGCAGATGCGACCGCGACGACGATGGCGACGACGGCGGCGACCGCGCCTGCGTCGGCGGCGCCGGGCTTCCGAGTTCCGTCCAGCCGCGAGCCCGAGGAGACCGCGGAGGCCGAACCGACTGGACACGTCAACAACGAACTGCGAGCATCGGAGCCATTCTGAGTAGTCCAGGCCGCACGCCGACAAGACATCCCACCCCCCCTTCCCCTCGACCCCCCCCCCAGCCAGGGTCACCTCAGGATCAACGGCCCCCGCGACCTGCGCGAGTGCAAAGTCGCCCTCGATCCCGCGTGGGGCCGTCGCCTGCAGACCCACCCATGGTTCGGCAACCCCCGCCGCCAGTGGCAGCAAACACGGGCGCGCGCTAGTCCGTTACAGCGCAGGGATCTGCGCGCGCGAGAAAGGCGAGCAGTTGCAGCGTTCTCTCGGGCTGCGTAGCGAGATGCGGGGGGCGAGGGTGGATCCAGACGCAGCTGGCTACATCCATGCGATCGTAGCTCTGCTGCGTAGACATGGTGCGACAGGCTACTTGCGGCTGCAACGCGGGGGACAGCGCGCGTTTGAAAGGCGGGCAGTGGCAGCCGTCTCTGGCGCCGCGCAGCGAGATGTAGGAGGCGGTATTTGGGCCCCGACGTCATCGGCACCATTGTGCTCGGATCTGCCGCGCGGGAAGGGCCAGCGGCGGCAGCGGGCTCTGGCGATGCCCAGGGAAACGCGGGAGGCGACAATGGAGCCATCGTCGCAACCAGCGACGGCGCCGTCGTCAGCGCGCGTGAGATGGCGAAGCGTCGTCGATGCTCAAGGGATCCGGGACAGCGAAGGCCGGGGCGGACAATATCAGCCACAAAAGCGGAACTGGACCAGAAGAGCGGGCGGCGGCTTGACGCGCTGCCGCAGGCCATAGGTCGGTTTTTTGGAGGCGACTTGACGTTGGGCCCGAGCGACTTGGGCTTCGTCGGGCACCCGCAACGCGACGTCGTGTGTTGATGGTGTCGAGCATGCCGCGGATCTGGTTTCTCTGAGTCGCCCCCGCGCCTGCCAGGGCCGAGAGCCTTGCTGGGCGGGCGCGTGCACCCTTTCCGCCTCTTGCCCCTCCCCCTTCTGCCCCCTCCTCCGCCGCCGGCAGGGGTCGGCAAGACCCTTCAGTTCTGGATGTCCCACTTTCTGGGCCAGGGCGTGCGATTCGCCTTGCGGGTCACGTTAAAGCCTGCTGCGCTGTGCGCTGGCCGCTCGAGCCTTCGACCCCCCTGCTTCGGCGTCGAGGCTCTCTGCAGCTGTTTGTTTCAATTTCGGCCGCCTTCCTCGCTCGCCCTCCCCACTCGCATTGGGTGCCAGTGCGAGCCCCGCCATCATGGGCCCGCATGGGGTGCGGACTCTCGAGTTTACAGTGTGGTTAGCTTCGATCAGATTGAGGCATCCGCGATACGGCTGCGGGAATCTTAAATTACAATCATGTCCTCCGCACGTTTCATTTCGGCGCGTACGTTTTTCGCCAATCGTCGCAGATTGCGCCGCGTGAGACGAGCGGCGCGTTGCTATCCCGTGGCTTGCGCCCTGCCTACCACCAGCAAGCGCTTAACAGCCACAATTTCGCCGCGCAGGCCGATTTTTCTCTGGGAATACGAGCGCACGCCCCGCAGGCTGTCATCGCCCTGGGCTGGTCAATCTCTGGGACAAGGACGAGCTCGAGGCAGGCTGCGAGACCACTGCGTCCCAGGTCACCCGCGGGGGCGCGAAGATAATCGCGCTTCGCGCGTCGCGGTTTTGGCCAGAGCTCCCTTTTTCCGGAGGGGGCGGCGCGATGGCGCGAGGGCACGATCACTTCGCGCATCGCGCCCTGCGATGCGCGACGAGTGGTCATCTTCGCGCCCTCGCGTTTCCGCGCGGCCGCCTCGCAGAATGGCAGCTGGTCCGGCCCAAGCCGCGACGCGCGAAGCGCGATTACCTTCGCGCCCCCGCGGCTGACCTGGGAGAGACGCGCATCGCGGGGCGCGGGGCGCGAAGTGGGGTGACCCGGGTGTCTTGGAACAACCCCCCCGCCCAGGCCACGCCGCTGGCGCCAGTGCGAAGCGGACCCCGGGGCCAGGCCGGCCGGCGCCGTAGGGGTAGCAGCCGGAGTCGCGGGGCGCTGCGCCAGGCCGGCTCCGTCTTCGTCCTCCTTGTTCCCCTGCTTTTCGGGAAGGCTCAGCGGAGAGTGAAGGGGCGGGAGGGGAAAAGGGATGAAAAGGGGGGGGACTGGCCTACGGCGGCTTAGCGTGTCGCTCCGCCGGATCTGGCCTTCCTCGCTTCGGCGCGACACGCTATCCACGATCCCATTCTCAAGCGGCGATTTCTCGAGCTGTTCCGAGCCTCGCGCCCCCGTGGAGCGGAGCGACACGCTATCCGCTTGCACGGCACAGCGTGTCGGTAGGGCCGCCGCCGCGACGCGTTGTCCACGAGGGTGCCTCTGCGAGGCGGGCGGGCGTCTAACCACAGCCAGCGCCTGGGGAGCCGATCTTCCTTGGGCCCCCGGGGCCGGGGGCGTGGTTTCCGTTGGGGCCGCGCCCAGGTTTCCCCGCTGTGTTGATGCGGGCCCCAAGAATATACACCACCACCACCACGTCGATTCATCCTCCCTCCTCCACCCTTCTCTTCCTCTCCTCTTCCCTGGGAGAGGAGGGGGATGAGGGAGGTGGTGGTGGTGTATCCCTTTGGGCCCCGCAGTTGACCTCCGCCGCGGGGCCGCCGCAACCTCGCACTCCCCCGCGGGGCGCCTTTTTAACGGGAGCCTCGTCCCGGCGCGGGGCCGGCCCTGCTAGTGCGGCCGGGCGCGCAGCCGGGCCCCCCTCGTTTCCCGCGGCGCTTCCCGCTCTGCGCCGCCGCGCAGCGGGTCGCCGGGACCCTCCGGGGGGGAGCGCGGGGGAGCGGGCGACAATCTTGGCGTCTCGGGGGCAGCAACCCTGACCTTCCAGAGAGCCATTTTTTAGCACGGGAGGCCTAAAAACATTTTAAAACAACGAAACGAAACAGCCTAAAACCAAGACATATAATAGCTCTGGGATAGGCTTTTAAGTCGCGTGTTATTTTTCTAGCCCTCCTGGAAGGTCAGGGAAAGAGGGGGGTGATGAATGGGGGGGGGATTTCATGGCGTGGGCCATGATGTTTCCCCAGGTTTCGTGGCGCCTCTTCTTGTATCATTGCGTCCCTGGCCCCCCCTCCTCAGGCCGCGCACACGCCGCGGGCCATGATTTGCATCCCCCCCCTCTTGGACACCCCCCTCTTGGCCGCCCCCGAGCATCGCTCGGACGTGTATATTTTTTCCGGCGAGGACCATCGAGGAGTATGTTGGGTCATCTTGCGTAGAAGTACACGCACGAAGCCGACCAGTGCACCGGGAGTGAGCGTCCGAGCGAGGGCCAGCAGTGGCCTCGCCTCCCGTAGAACATCACGCGCGACGAACATGTCCGTATCCGCGGCCTCGGGTTCTGGATTCCGGGGCGCGGTCCCGCGGATGTGCAGCCGCACGGGTGCGTTCACCGAAGAAGGGCAATGGTGGACGCGCGAAGTCCAGGACCCAGGTGGTCACCCGACCTAAAAAAAAGAGAGCTCGCAGCGTGGCAAAGAGAAAACTCCACGCGATTGGGTCCAAGCCACGGGTGCGTTCCCCGCGGGGCATCCGCAAACAAAAAGCAGCTTGGGTCCGCGGGGTCGCGGCCAGGGGGCTTGGCCCGCGAGGCCGCGGGTGCGGATCTGCTTTCTGTCGCCCAGGAGTTGCGGAGATGCTTTTCGCCGCCCCCCAAAAAACAGGGGGGGGGGGCCTAAAACGACGCGAAGATCGGGACAAAATCGGATCGGGATAACTCGAAATCTCTGAGAATCGGCGGGTTTGGAGGATGTATTGTGCGCCGCGGCCGCTCGAGAGCGTTCCGGAACGCTCTGAGAGCGCTCCGGAACGCTCTGGAGCGATTTATCCCGATCCTAGCCTTGTTTTAGGGCCAGAGCGAAGAGGGGGCTGGGGAGGGGCAGGCCTGGAGGGGACGACCGCCAGGGGGGGTGGAGGGGCAGATCACCGGAGGGCGAGGGCGCCTGGGCCAGAAGGGGAGGGGGAGGGGGGCCACCTGGTCTGAAGCTGGGCCTGTCCCGGTCTACAGGGGGAATATCCAAAACTAGTTTAAAAATGATACGGGGACTATTGTTTGAGCATTTTTTGGCCATTCTGGAGTATTTACCTAACAGCGAAGACTGATAGGTTTCTAGTAGGGTCAAA